CTCTCTGGAAATAGGTGTGCCTTTGGCTGATTCCCTTAAGTCTGGCAGTGACCTTGTGTCACAGAACTGAGATTTTAAACCTCAGAAATATCAACTCATAAGAGATGTGCTTTGTGTGCTGTTGTCCCCAAAGCCTCATGATGTCATGGGGCAGCTTTTGGAGTTTGTGATTCATTCATGATCCAATGCTGGGATTATGGGAGTGACTGCTACACCCACCCTGGGGCAGATAATCTGCATTATAATACGCGGGGAGAGAGGCTCACAAGCTGCCCCAGCGGCTGCCCCTCCCTTTGCTCTTCGCTGTTTTCCACCACCGTGAATGGCTGCCCTCTGCCATGTGCCACGCAGCCTTGGAGCCAGCTGAGTATGGTCTGAAACTTCCAGCAACTGTGAGCTCACTAAACCTTTCCTTCCTTTTGAGTGTTGGGTATTTTGTTCCAACAACAAGAGCTAAGTAACTGAGACGGGGCCTAATCAAGCAGACAGCCCTCGAACCTGATGGCAGTACTTGCCCCGTGCAAGCACTCAGTCTGGCCTCAGCCACCACAACCCCCACCCCACCGCTAACGCTGCTTCTCCAGTGGCTCAGCGCAACCTTTAGGTGGGGCCGAGGGCAACACTTTTTCCACTGGAGGACGTGAGTCAGTACAGAGTGAGGTTCCACTTAATCGCCACCAAAACACAAGGTTCTTAAAATCAGAAGCTAGAAAAGTAAGGAAGTGATTAATACAGAAGTCAGGCCAGCGGTTGTCCCTTGGGCAGGGTGGGGTGCACAGGCCAGCAGGCCTGACGGGCGACGGGTGCATAGGAGGCTTCTAGGGCCTGACCGTGCTCTCTCTCTTGACCTGCGTGATGGCCGCACTGGTGTTGGCTGCTTGATAACTATATTTACACAGTTTATGTACTCGTCTAAATGTGGTTCATAGCTCACAATTATAAACAGCTCAAAATATACAAACTATAGAAAGTTCTTAAGCAGGCAAAATATGACCAGAATTTGTATTATTAAGAGATCATTTGGCTGTTGAAAAGAAGATCAATTTAAGGTGGGATTAGGTTAGAAGCTGAGAAACCAGTGTAGAGTCGCTGCTGTAATTTAGTGAGCAATTATAAGAACCTGGGCTGGAAAATAAGCGTGAAATACTAGGGACGCAATGTGCTCCGTTTTAAAAGATAGACCCAGAGTAAGGCAGAGGCTGGACTGCCTCCTCGCTTACCTTGTGCCTTGGGAGTTGGCTCAGGAATTACAATCCCAATGCAGGCATGTGCCCCAACAGATTCAGAAACTGGGATTCCTCTCTACCTCTTCTCAGAAGCTCTACCTGAGGGCTCAGCCTGCCTGGCCAGTAGCTGGAGAACAGCTTTTTCATGATACCATGACATTACCCGAGTTGAGGTGACACGCATTTTCTATCATAATATCCAATCAGTCAATCACAGTATCTAATCATTGGAGACGATAGAGTATTTACTATCTGGTACTAGAATTTTAGTTCTCGAGGGCAAAGGCTTTTGTTCATTTTGTTCACTATTGTATCCTTGGTGCCTAGGCACAAAATTGGTTTGTAGATAAGTGATCAGGAAGCATTAATGAATGACCACTTTTTTTTTTTTTTTTTTAATCTGGGAATCTCAGCAAATTGCCCAAGCTACTCTCAAACTCAGTCTTCTCCACTTCAGCCTCCAGAGTAGTTGGGACTACAGGTGCACCCCAGCAAGCCCAGCTCATAGCTATTATTTATGTCTAACCATCACAATAGTTGTGTAAGGGTAGGTAGAACACAAATTATTATCCTCATTGTATAAGTTAGAAAGCAGACATTTGGGAGATTGAGGAATATGTCAAATAGCTGATCATTTGTCCGAAGGTAATCAGTTCTCTTAGTTTTTTTCCCTTACTTCACACCAAAAGAGCTGAAGTTTACAGTTCCCATAGATCTCAAACACCAAGTAGAAACATTTGAAAACACATGCTAGGTATGACCAGGCATCCTGTGTTATCTGATGTTCCGGGTTATGAGGTGAAGCAGGCCACCCAACTTCCATTGCATCAATAACCACAGTGCCCTGAGAGGCCAGTTATTGTTCCTCTGGGTAATCGAATCCACCTCACCCAGGGCTACCTTGCACTCTCGTTCTTTCCACATCCTTCACAGTCTCTACACCTGCATCGCTAAGCAGTAGAAGTTCAGGAAACCTATGATTGCAAAAATACATGTCCCAAATTATTTTTCATTAGGAAAAAAAAAAAAGACGAAAGAAGTGTAGGAGAGGCTGGCCTACAGAGCAAGACCCTGTTTCAATACTACTCCTCAAAGGAAAAAAAAAAAAAGGAAAGGAGTAAAAGAAGAAAGAAAGAAGGGGGGGAAAAGAGTGGCAATGGGTAGTTTCAGTGTTCTTCAAAAACATCTGACTAAAGAAAAATTCTGACTTCCAAATAGAATCTCATGGAGTGACTAAAACTAGTGTTTCATAAAAAGTTAATCTCTTAAAGAGGTCTCTTTCCTCTTCATATTAATTACCTTCGTAATTTAAAGCATAAGACACAACTTAGATACTTAGGAAATGCTGGCTGTTCGGTTAATACTACCTTTCACACATCTGGAGTTGTGTATGCCTCCTGTAGGACTCCTCGTTAAACTCCAAAAAACCCCACAAAACAAAACCCTGTATTAAAGCCAGTATTTTTTAAAAAAAACACCTAAAACACTCAAAACAAATAAATCAAATTGTTAGGCTACTTTCTTCCTCTCCAAGTTCTGATATTCACTTGATCCCAAGAACAATTTGGCCCAGGAGATTTAGACCACCGTGGCTTGGTAAGTAGTGTATGCCGCCACACCTGGAGTGTCACACGCAGGACTCACCAGAAATTCAGTTGCAAACTTCTCTTTGTTCTTTTTCTTGTTCTGGGCTCCGTCCAGGAACTTCTGCAGAATTTCTCGCTGGTCCATGCTGTGGAGCTAGAGAGAGAGGCTGCGAGCCGGTCAAGGGCGGGCATCTCAAATGTGTGTCATGGCTGAGACAACACCAAAGCCACTGCTGCCTCCAGAGCGCAGCATGCTGAAGGCTGTGGTTTACTGACTTATATCACAAGCCCTAGAGGAAATTAGTATGAAACCAGCCTCTGTGGTCACACAACAAAGCCATCAGCTCTCTCCAGGGCCCTAGTGCCTTCCTTCTCGACAAAGGAACCTGCTGCAATTCAAGTTTTTTGAACAAACAAAATGCTAACCAAAACTCTGAGGCTCTTCTACTTCATCAGCTTTAAGCAAGACGAAGCCTACCTCTTCCCATTCCCCTGGTGAGCACAAAAGCCCTGTCAACATGGTTTCCTGGGTCCCAAATGAACCCTGAAAATTCAGTTAGGCCCAGGAGAGCAGAGGCACACTGGAGTCACACAGCTTCTACCGGGACTGTTCTCCCCAACGTTGCCTGTCTGCAGGATTGACAGCTAACTTCTGTTCATCAGAGAAGGCATCTTTTTTCAAAACTTTCTTTTTTCCTTTCTGTGGTACTGAGGGCTGAATGCAAGGCCTTGTGTTTGTTAGGCTTTGTTTGCTCTCCCACTGAGCTACACTGCTAGCCCTTCAAATACCAAAAAATACATTTTTTTTTTTTCATTTTTGAGACAGGTTTTCCATAAGTTTCCAGGCTGACTTTGAATTTATGATAGTCCTGCCTCAGCTTCATGGGCAGCTGGGACATAGGCTACCATACCCAGCTTATTTTGAACTTTTAAGTCTGCCATATTGGCCTGAAATTCTTTAATGATGCAAAGTCAGCTGATTCTAACAGTCCATGTCTCTCTCAGTATGGGAGAAATCCTGACCACCATTAAGGGAAGTATAGTCAATTTCAGCGTCTCTTCTGTTCCTGAAGTTTCATGAGCTACACTTGGGCTCTGAGTATAAAGACCATGACCACACTGCTCTATACACAATCAGAAGCTGGCCCACCAGCAGCACCCAACATGGCGGTCGGTCTACTCTCCTCAGATTGGACACTGACAACTGTGGGGCAACAGAAAGAAAGTAAACCAACTACTTTGCTGAGCACAGTATAACTCTCATGTCAGAAAGCCTGAAGAGAACGATATGTGCTTATATTCCCAGCTTTAGGAAGCTGAGGCAGGAGGACTGCTTGAGCTCAGGAGTTTGAGGCTACCCTGAAGAAACACAGAGAAGCCTCGTCTAAAACAAAAACAAACCTGAAGAATGGTTTCTATCAATAATATTTTTATTTTCCAACATGTCTTAGGAAAAACATTGTTTCCAGGGGCTGGGGATATAGCTCAGCAGCATAGTTCCTGCCTAGTAAGTGTGAGGCCCTGAGTTTGATTCCCAGTGTAAATATATATATATATATTTTTTTTTTTTCCAGAAAACAATCCTGTGCATGTGGCATTTTTTTTTTATTACTTTTACTTAATATTTTGTTGTTGTTGTTTTGTTTTCTGGTTTTTTGGTTTTTTGTGGAACCGGGAGTTGAACTCAGACCCTTGCGCTTGCCAGGGAAGCGCTTATTCCACTGAGCCATCTTCCCGGCCTCATGTGGCATTTTGGTCCTGATAGCCAGACTGTTCTAGGAAAAGCTTCCAGATCTCAGCTTGAATAAATTTTCTCCTCTGTGGGTACAAATCTACCAACACCCCAAAATCAGCACATAATTTTTGTTTGAGGATAGAAATTCAATGAATAATATGTTAACAAAATTCATCTAAAATAATTAAGAGAATCTAGGAATGTGTTGTTTGGACTTCCTCTATTTAGGATATTAGTAATCCTTTCTGGTTTTGCGACTTCATTTAAACGCCTTAAGGAAATCATGACTGGATATTAAAGAGTCTGTGTCATGGTTAGAGGTTTTGCAAGGGGAACAACATAATATAGGACACAGTTTATAGTATTATTTTATAATGAATCACCCAAATAATCATATACAAAGAGTGCGGGAAATCTGTCCACACATTAAAGACCCAAGAATCCAGCTGAGGGCCTGGAACCTAATATCCTGCATGAATCCAGCTGAAAACCTAGAGCTCATAACAATGCCCCCTACAAGTCCAGCTGGAGGCCTAGAGCCCACGACAGTGTCTCATGCGGCCTGCTTCACGGATCTATGCGGGAAAGGCCCAAAGGTCAGGGGTGGAAGCTAGGAAGTCTATGCCAGCGGGAAGAAGGATCTGTGCTAGCAGGCTAAAGAATTGGAACTGGAGCCAGGAAGCAAGACTCAAGGTAAGCACCAGAGCTCCCCTAAAAAAGTTACCACAGCCACGTTCAGCAACAGTCAGGTCCCCAGCTCCTCCAGCACAGTGAGGAAAGGCGAGTTCACATCAGGAAATCCAGCGTGACAAGCTCCTCCAGGAAGCTGAGCAGAGCACCGACCGTATTTCCCTCTGGAGCCAGGAGGCGATGCTCAGAATGAGGACCAGAACGCCCTCAAAAGGAATCACAACTGTTCTCAGTGACAGCAAAGTCCTGAGCTTCTCCAGTGACAAGAACAGCCAAGGTCATCGGGAAAGCCAGCATGACAAGGTCCTCCAGCAGAACAGCCCAAGAGAACCAGCAGCTTCCAGAAGCCTCAACAGCACCCCTAACAGCCTCTCAGCAGCTTCTCCACTTCTGCTCTTAGGCTGCTGGCAACAATCCTCAGGTGGCCTCCCACACCCAGCACCACGCTAGTCCAGTTCAGCTGGGTGGAACAAGTGGACCCCTACTTAGCAATCCATGTGGGCTGCATCCTCTTTACTGAGCAAGAACTTCAATCCCAGTCCACAAAAGTTAAAATTAGCCATAATTCTTCAGCAATATTTGTAATAGGATACTATTTCTCAGATTATCACATGTAGCATTAAAGGAGAATTTCTTGCTGCCCTGCTGTATGACTATTTCAAAACATATATCGGAAAAAGCAAAATATCAAGAGTACAGTAACTAAGACCATATAAAATATGAAGTTTGTGAAGTCTAAAAGATGCAAAAAGAATTAATTTGTATGATGGAATTAAGAATTCTCAAAAAAAAAGAATTCTCTATGTATTCATTTCAGAAATTTTTTTTCTAAAATTCACTCTGCCTATATAGCTTTCACATTTCAATATTTGTCTACAATTTTATTTTATTTTTTTGCAGAACTGGGGATTATACTCAGGCCCTTGCACTTGCCAGGGAAGCACTTATTCTACTGAGCCACCTCCCCGGCCCCTTGTCTACAATTTTATTTATTTATTTATTTATTTTTAATAACAATTACTTTTTATTTTTATTTTTGAAGAATATAAAATATAGATATAAAGAAAAAACAGCATTAGAAATGATACAAGATCCCACTAGACAAAGTAATAGGAATTCAACATTGGCTGCTGTATTACATTGTGCTATCTTCAAATTAGTTGTTCACATTACCAGATATAAATGTGTAAGATTCATTTCAAAAAACAAAAACAAAGAATTTATATGACATTCAAAAGAAGAAATAAAATCAGAGTCAGAAAAAATTTAAACATTAATTGCTGCTTTCAAAAGACCAGCAGAAATCGACAATATAATCATCCAAACCATTGTGTACATATATTCCTCATTCCAGAACAATTACTTGCGTTTTTTTTTCCTTGATTTTTTTTTTTTTTTTTTTTTTTTGCGGAACCGGGGATTGAACTCAGGCCCTTGTGCTTGCCAGGGAAGCGCTTATTCCACTGAGCCATCTCCCTGGCCCCTCGTCCTTGAATTTTTTTATTGGTACATTTTATATATACATAGTGATAGCATTCATCATAGGGGAATTGTACCTTGCTTCAAGCAATAGTTTTAAGCATTTTTTTAAAGATTTAAAATTTCTGAATTTAGTTCAACTTATAATACCACATTTCCAAGAAAAATGAACCTTTTGCAAAGACATTTAAATAAAATCATACCAACATGCACAAAAATGAAATTGTCCAAAACTTCTTGTAAAGAAAAAAAATCATTAAAGCATATACATAAAGATATTAGCATGGGGGCAGGTGAGATGGCTCAGTGGTCTAAAGCACCTACTTAGAACAAGTTGAACAAAGCAAAGGGACCACGGTTCAATCCCCCAGCACCACAAGCCAGTCAGCCCCACCCCCTGGTGGGCTGAGCTGGCCACACACACACACACACACACACACATACACACACACACAAATAAATAAATTAATTAAAAAAAAAGATATTAGCTATGGAAGAACAAAATTAAATAGCATCTTATTCCACATTAGAAAGAAAACAAAGGACCAAGGGTGTAAGAAACTAAAGAACTGCAAGAAAAGATCTGTTCTCTTTGAATTTCATACTTAGCAAACATACCTTTGAAAACTAAAAGTAAGATTTTCTAGTTATACAAACTTGAAATATTTTAATACCTCCAGAAGTAGCATATAGGAAATAACAAAGAGCATAATTCAAAAGGCAAGAGAAGTTGCAGTATGTTCCTGGATGAACAATAAAGAGCTCTCTACAATTTTAAATTTTCTATATAATTATTGATTTTCAATGAAGTTAATAATGAGTGAAAAAAGAATTCCTTAAAATTTTTATACTACTTTTTTAATCAGAAAAAAACCTATTAATTGTCTACCAAATTCACTGAGTATCCACTAAATGTAAGCACTGTTAGGGACTGCATATGCCACATAAGCAAGCCAAAATATAGTGAAAAACATCCTGAGACAGTATTTTTTTAAAAAGTACCTCAAAAAAAAAAATCTCAAACTAAAGATACAGACTCAATTACTGATAAAAATGAAAATACCCCAGACTAACTTGCTTATTTGCAGAATAACAAAACATACTCATATAAGAGAGATGATTTTTCTGTATTTGGACAAATAAAACACACGGTTTCCTAATCTCTTTTTCTCCTTAGAATACCCTCACTGCCATTAACCCAGAACTATAATAGCCAGTCACAGTGGTGCACGCCTGTCATCCAGCACCCTGGGAGGCTGAGACAGGAGAACAGCATGTTTGAGGCCAGCATGGGCAACTTAATAACTTAGTGAGATCTTGGTCCCAAATCAAATAAATCCC